TATTCGAGGACAAACTTGGGCGTTTTCCCGGTGGTGCGCTGTATGGAGGTCGGGATTTTAGTTCCACCTTCTCACCGCGAGATGGCTATAGCGTCGCTTGCCACGTTTTTGAACATTGGGAACAAGAATGAATGAATGAATTTATTAATTAATTAATTAAGGGCGTTCATTAGGTCTTCTTCACCTGGATAACGCCTGAATTAGGAACAACAAGAACTCGATTTGCATTCTCAGCTTTATACAGTGCTTTGATTATTAGTTATAGGGGCAGAGTATTGTAAAATACCGTGGAAATAAATTTTGAAAGGGAATAAATAATTAAAGAATATAATTAAAGAAGTAAAGGAACGATTATATTCGATAGAATCGTGTTCAAAGACAAAAGACACAGCATTTTAAATGGGAAATAATAAGCGAAACTGCCCTCAAACATAAATTAAGTAGCTTGTCTGCCTGGCAAGCAAGTACCAAGCAAGTTTAAAAACGTTTTTCTTATAACTTTTTTTTATTCTTAGCATGATATTAATGCCCATAAAATCATATAAGATTCCTTAACAAATTTTCAAGCGCAGGTTGGATTACTTTACTAAGGCCTCATTTTAGACAAATTTTCGAACCTAAGCGCAAAATCTGTCTCACGAGTATCGTTTCGATAACTCGATAAGAGGTGAAAGACTGAAACGCATAGATGGAGGGTTATTTTCCGTGGGATACGATTTCCTGCTTGGTTACCAGAGATTCTCCTCTTTTCATCCCCGTCGTCCAGGAGGGTGGAGCAAAAACGAGCGTCCAGAGGGTAATCGGGAGAAAGAATTCCGAGGTATGATACCCTTCTGATTCGTTTTACGACAGTCGTTTCCTCGAATTAGGACGAAATAAGAAAGAATTCGTGAATGCGCTGATTTCGAGCCAATCCCCCTTTAGTCTGTTCGCAGAAGGGATGGTATCGGATGTAGATGCGCATGATACCAATATGGAAAAGTTCAACTATCCCTCACGCGTAGGGTGTATCAAAACACGTCGGTTCTACGATGAATTCGACACAGAAAATGAATGACACAGTCTATAAATATTCTTCGTGTACTTACCTTAAATACTTACCTTATATACTTACCTTGAACACTTACCTTAACAATAGGAGGACTCAAAAAACGAGGATCGATCAGAAAGCATCGATCCAAGTTCCAGTCGTAATACGTGACGACATAATGCTTAGAACTTTCGTCTTTTACACCGTTAATTTAATAACGTAGTTTTATATCTCTTTTTATTCAAAATTACTACAAAAATTGTTTGTTCACTTACCTCGAACACTTACCTTGAAAATAGGAGAGCAAGAGTCAGCGTCGATCAAAGAGTAGGTTCGTGATACATGACGGGATGACGTTTGGGACGAATAAACGGAAAGCTGACCACCAGCCTAACAGTAGAAGCATTTAACGATATAGAGCACCTATGGGCACAGCGGCACGTGCTGACATATGGGCTTTAGGGCTTTGCCTGGTATCCAGCGGTCTCTTTGCGGGGGTGGTAAATGGAGTGTCACCGTGTTAAATGGCCCTGATGCCTGCGGATCCATTCAGGGCATGCCTTTCCCGAGACTCCGAACCAATTCTTGCGGCTAATTTCCACCGTTTATACGTTTAATTGCCCTTTCAAACCACCTGGACTACCAGAGCCGCAGAACCTCGGAAACCATTCCATCCGATACAATCTCCAATTCTCCTATTTATTGATTCTTCACATTTACCGATACGCGTCGTCATTGTACTCAAGTAGGAAATGAAACCTTAGTGTAACACAAGTAGAAAATACTCTAACACCTTTACTCCTCACCGTTTTCTTTAATATTCCCCTTTTTTATTATCGATTCCATCGCGTAATGTTTCGATATCTTATCCTCTAACACGTTGACTACCAGGCTAATAAACGTACGAGTTCCTACGAAGTTAAAGCTTTCTCTATACAATTAGAAATGGTGTCGCGCAAACATTTATGGCAGTAGTTGTTTTTCCGACCACTTTGGAATTTACCAAAACGCGATACCCCCGCGTATCTGTCGTTCTCGTTTGTTCGAGCGGTGCTCTTTGGCCAAAAAAACATTTTATGGTACGCAGTCGCCACGGATAATGGGTGTATCCGAAATGTTCGTTGATGTCAGCTCGAGAAGATCGGGATTTTTACGTCGGCTGATTTTACCACTTCATGGTCACCGTGAGCAATTATAACGAGCATAACAGGGGTTGCAGTTTTATGGCGAGGCAATGGGAAATGCGCGTTGCTTCCGGTGGTGAAAAAGGTGAGTCCAAGGTGCTGCGCCAAATGCGTTGCGATGCGGTTTTATGACGGTGAATGAGAGAAGTCGGTTCTCCGTTGAACAGGGGCCTCAGTATAGATCATCTTTCCGTACCTGCATCTTCGCCAAGGTCGTTTCCATTTTCGAGAATCGACTTTCCAATCGGCTACTGAGCGCCCTATTACCTGGCGTCACTCTTCCATTTGGCCGAGAGCTTCGTGGAAATTATGGAACTTATGGATGGATTATTATAGTTTATCGCAGCTTCATTCGAGAGCTGTGTGTCTATATTTAATTGAGCATCGTATGTATTTTTCAGAGGAGAACTCGTGAAAATATTATAGACAGAATAAGAGAAACTGCCGGCATGTCTCCACGGACCAGAGCATTTTTACATTAATAAAAGCACGTAGATAGGCATATTGGGGCATCGCTTACAGGCAGACCCATGAACCAACCATGATTCAAAGAAGAATCGCGAGAAAAAGAAAATATTAACATCTCCATAATTCCAAATCCAGCCTCGATCCTCGTGAAAGAGACAACACTTGGATCGATGCCTCCACCTCTTGTTCGTTAATAGTTTTATGTAAATAATAATTTAGAAGATGGTCATCTCTGGGCGCTAATGATAAACTGCGTCCGGTAGACTCGCAGCTGCGAATCAGCAACTTTCTACTCTTCATGGAAGTATGATCGGCAATAATGCACAGTACGATCGCGTTCAAACGGTGACCGTGACGAAAGTTGATTTCCCAGCACGGTGCCATTTTCCAGCAGCCTCTTCGGCTTCGCAAGAGCCACCCGCAATCTTTGTCGGCAAACAGGACCTCGTAAATTACAGTAGGAACGTCTCAATGTTGGTAGGACCCTCGCCTGGCATTGTCTACGAGGTACCAACGCGTTAGACACGCACCCTGAATCTCAGCTAGCTGAAATAGCTCTTTCGAACGTTCGCCAGCGATCCATATTAAAAGTTACATTTATCGAAACCTGTCTGTTCGTTGGATTGCTGAGATATTTGAACCAAGTATTTTCAGTTATTTATTTGTTATTTAGTATCCACTTCGAAAGTGCCATTTTCTTGTTTATCACCGAACGAAGGCGACGAGGACAGCTGTCCTCGGTCGATTCCCCAGCTCGAACGATTCACGCAATTCCTTTATCCATCCTGAGGGTAGATTCGTTTCTGCGCAGACCGTGATAACATCGACGCGCATATAGTACCTTGGACAGAGGAGCACGTAAGGCTGCGGGCGTCGGGGTCGCAGGTGGCGGCGTTCAAAGCCAATTATGCGAACGCGCCCCCCGACGTCGGCGTCGTACTCGCAAATCCCTATCCTCGCATTTAAACCCCCGCGAGAGGGGTTGGCGTTGGCGAGGACCAGAGAGCGAGAGAGAAGTTTAACTTGTCTGCGCTATAACGGATTAACGGCCGCGATTTATTCGCAAGTAATTGCTTCCGCCCTTTAATTAACTCGCATTTATTTCACGTAATGGCGACTGCTTGCCAACCGTACACCGGAGTTTTCGACGGTAAAGAAACATTTTACCCGGTTACCTTCTCCATGAGTATCTCGACCATCCACGGTGATCCACAAAGTCGGATATGTCTATCGGGTGGAGAAATTAATTCTGTTTTTCTTGTGCCTAATTTTTCTAAGTCACCTGCATACACCTGCTAGCGTCACCTGAATCACCTCGTTGTCCCTTGGAAGAAGCTAGCAGGGATTGGCTTATTCAAACGTGGGATTCGTGACCGTTTTCATAAAGTAGCTCAACTGCCACGACGCGACGATACATTACAGAAACGGCATTATCAATGAACGAGAATCGGGATCCGATCGTCGACGCGGTGCCATTCGAGTGCACGGAACGAAAACCACCCCGAACCGGGGCTGCCGGGCCGAGAGACTCACGGTCGCCATTTCGAGAACGATAAAGTATCCCAGGGGTTCACTCTTATCTTTCCTATTATCGATAGTTGGCCGAGGACCAATATGGCTACAGAGCATCGTCGCCATGGTTACCTCGGATGTACTTGGTCCAGGAACGCGGAGCCCATCATCCGTGCCATTATCGTGCTTTGCCATAAATAAGAAACGACTCGTTTCTCCGTAAAACCTTCGAGTTCTTCGTATACTTTCGTATTCCTTCATCCCTTACCACCTGAAGCCACCTCGAAAGTCAACATTCGCATCCATTTCCTTCGAATTAATTCTCAAAGAAGTAGTAAGTTTACTCGTATGCCTGCAAATTTCAGAGGAGGTGACATTAGCTAAAGTATACATTTCAAATTGATTATTATCGAAAGTGAAGCAACACCCCTTGTAACTAAGGAAACCGTTTGATTTCCTTAAAGAACGTTAACGTAAGAATAAGCTGGTACCACGTTGAAGAAGGAATTACCCGAATAGTTAATTAGAAATTCTGAGGACG